CCAAAAATTATGTCGTAATATCACGAACTCAGCATTTGAAATTCTTATCGCAACGATGACGTCTGTTTGCCAATGTCTGCTTTCAGGCGCTGCTATTGCCATTGCTGCTTCATTGTTATTTTTCACATGGATAAGCACTCGTATGTATGAGTTTGGGTATTTATTTCCATATTCGTAGTAAATGTGTTGCTTGTGTAGCTGTTTGTAGCTGGAATATAGAAATTCAGCGAAATATGTATGTGCAAGTGCTGGATTTACAAATTTTTCTAAAAGAAGACTGCCTGCTTTTCTTATTGAATTCTTAATAAATATAAGGCTATTGAATTATATGCTTGAATGCTTAGGTTTTTTTCCATGTTACATATAATTCTTTTTTTCTTTTGGTAGTACTGTCAATCACATTTATGTTAGATTTTATGTCAAAATACTCATTAGTGTTTGAGATAGTTGTCGTTTTGTGAGCTGCTAAAAGTGAGTTTTTCGTTTTTTGCGATGTCGAAATCTGTTGAACAAAGAATTTGCATTAAATTTTGTTTACGGAATCAATTTTCTGCTGCATATACATACGTGGAGGATGATGCAGAAAGCCTTTGTTGATGAGGCTATATCTAAAAAAAATGTTTACAAGTGGTATAGGTAGTTGCAAGCCAGCCGTGAACGTGTCGAAGACAAAGAGCGTCCAGGGCGACCATCAACTTCAACCGTGGAAGCTCACGTTCAACAAAGTAAAGATTTGGTGTTGAAAAACCGTCGATTAACAATTAGAGACCTTGCTGATGAAGTTGGCATATCGAAAGGCTCAGCCAATACCATTTTGAAAGATGTTTTGGGCCTCAAGCGCGTCAAATCTCGACTGGTACCGAAAACATTGAATTTTTTTGTAAAAAAGGCGTCGCGTTAAAGTGTGTGAAACGATGCTTTCCGATAACCAAGGTGTCATGAAACGCATTATAACTGGCGATGAGACTTGGATCTATGCTTATGACCCCGAAACAACCGATCAATCGAGCGAATATTGTGCCAAAGAGAGCCAAGACCAAAAAAATTGCGCCGAATTCGCTCAAAAATCAAGGTCATGTTGACTGTTTTCTTCGATTATCGTGGTGTTGTGCATTATGAATTCCTTCCAAYCGGTCAAACAGTCAACAAGGAATATTATTTGAACGTTATGTGTCGTTTGCGTAAGGCTATCCACCTAAAAAGCCGGAATTGTGGAAAGAAAATTCTTGGTTTTTACACCACGATAATGCACCATCCCATACTGCCCTCGGAATTCGTGACCATTTCGAAAAAAACTCAACCCATATCGTTCCGCAACCACCGTATTCACCTGATCTGGCGCCGTGCGACTTCTGGCTGTTCAGAAAGCTCAAAACACCGCTCCGGGGACACCGTTTTTATACGATAGAGGAGACTCAAGCCGCAGCGAAGAATAATAATAAATAATAATAATTTAAAATTTTAGTATGTCACACTTAGAGGTACCAAATCAGATAACTTTTACTCTCTTCAATTGCCGATCACTGAATTGTGTATTGTCAGGCAGCCAGCTGACTCTATATAAGAAACGTAGGCACCGTGCCTGGCCAGTGCTTGAGTGATGATCACACCGCGAAGTGATGTGATCTGAAGCTCAAATGGTGACTTCACGGTAGCTGGCTGCCAGCCGGCTCTATAAAAGAAAAGCAGGCACCGTGCCTGGCCAGTGCTTAGAATTATATAATTCACATATGAGTGACATATGTGAAAGAAGTGAATATTCCAAACATTTTTATGAGCACCCAATTGGTAGTAAGGTTACCTTAAACCCTGCCAATTCTTATCAGTATACATGACAAATTTGTTTACACATTCAAATGTGCATCAAAGGGTTGCGGTTTAAATAGTTATAAAACATATGTTGATATACATATGTAAGTAGCATGATACTGTTATGTATATCGTGACAATGCAGCAATTGATTGTTTGATTAAGTGTATTTCTCATCTATTTGGCTTTAGTTAGTACATGACTCATGCCCAAGTCACGTGATGTGTTACATTACGCAATAATCTAATCAATAGATCAACTGCTTTGAATAATTTATTAGCTACTTAACTACCTTTTAGGTCTAATATAAAGCTTAGTAAGCTGAAGCATTGTAGTAAACATTTTGTTGAATAATTGATTATGCATTTGTAGATAAGTTCTATAGACCAATAGGCTTTTTGTACATTTTTATCGAGTCTGTATACTGTGGGTAAAAAATAGTAAGACTTTTTATTTAATTTTCAGTATTTTCTGTTTTCTTTGATTATCAAGGTGAGGTCGACTCCGAATTTCTTCTGATCGGTCAAACTATCAACAAGTAATATTATTTGAGTGTTATGCGGCATTTGCGAGAAGCTATTCGTAAAAACGGCGGGAATTATGAGCCGACTCTTCTTGGTTTTTGCACCACGACAATGCCCCGACGCATAATACATTGATTCTTTGTGAGGGTTTCGTCAAATTTTGAGACAATATCGTGCCGCAACTATCGTATTCGCCTGATTTTGCTCCGTCTGACTCCTGGCTAGTTACCAAACTCAAGCGATCGGTTCGGAGAATCCGTCTTAAGGCAATTGAAGCCATTAAATTTGAATCGCTAGGCGCATTGAAGGCTATTCCGGAAATTGACTTTAAAACTGTTTCGAGGTTTAAAAAAAAAAAAAAAAAAACAGTGGCATAAGTGTATTGAGGCCAAGGAAGATTACTTTGAGGGAAACGATATAGATTGTGAAGAATAAATTAAGAATTTGAAAATTATGAACAAAGTCTTACTATTTTTTGCTCATAGTAGTATCTTCTTATATTACATATGTATGCGTTTGCTTAACATTTATACAATGAATTATATTGTACGTGGTTGTTGTTTTTTTCTTCGCTGCGAAATGCTTGCTCAGCGATAATAATTCACCTGACTTTAAATATATTGATATCAATTGCCACCTTTTAATCAAGGCGCTACCCAATTTATAACCGCTTCGATTCCTCTGCGCTAGTAATAATTACTCAAATACTTATTTACTTGTTGGGCAAAGGTAAATATTTACTCTAAGCTACATATACACTTGCGCGTGTCTTAATGCTGAGTACTTTTAAAAATATATGGATATGAAATATATTCACTAGCACACAAAATACTCACTATGTACATATGTCGAGTGATTCGCGCATTGATGTGTAAAGAAAAAAAGAAATATAAAACCCAGTACAATTTCGCTATGTCAGCGCCACATTGCACTTATAAATAAAAGCGGTTCTAAAAGCTACGATTTTTACTAAGAAAATATGCACTTATTGTCAGTAAAAATATATATTGTAAACTTTGGCCGTACATATCAAACAGTTACCTCTCATTTGTCAATTGCTTTGTGTGACTCATCATATGGCCATAAATTGGAGTACGTATTTATTACCAGTTATTGTTTTGATAATCAATGGACAAGTGTTCTCAGCTTTGTTCTTTGTTTGTTGTTGTTTGAATGGAGGGATGTATTTATATGAATAAATATGTCGACCTTGCAAGTAGTTTGATTGTGTCCTAAAAATATAGTAAAAATGCCATATGTGGCTTTGAAAGAGGTGAGCAATAATTATTATTTTTTTTATAGGAAATTGTTTACTCGTTTTAAGCAGATCTAACTTAAAGTTTTTTAGAGATTTTTGAACGTTTTAAACCTATTGATAATTGACGTGAAACCATTTTGGATTGATCAGCTCAAATCACCTTTCTCGTTCTAAGAGCTCTTGATTTCACTTTGCTTTGTATTCGCCACTGATATCTTTGTGAGAGCTTCGGTTTTCCTTCAGTTTGTGAGTCAAATTTCATCAAAGCTTTTTTGTAGTGAAAGCTTATCATTGCAAGTGAAAGCTCAGTAATTTCTGTAATTAAGAATTTGAAACAAGTTAAGTAAATAATATCGTTTTCAGTTGTCATCGTTTTTATATAAGACTACGTGGGTTGACTTTTATATTTCGGCATTTGGCAAACCTAGTTTAACAATCTGATAACTCAAAGTTTTATCGTAATGTTTGACATTTTTTTTGATACACATACCGAGAATGTTTTAACATACGAGTAACTTACAGTAACTTAAAATATTCAACTTTGCCATAAAATAAAATTAAATCGCGCCAATAAAGAAGTAATGAAATATAAATATCGTATATTTTTTTGATGTTACAAATACATAGAAATTTTAATATACGAGTAACTTACGGTAACTTAAAATATTCATCTCTGCCAAAAATTAAATCGTGAACATAAGGAAGGAACAGAATATAAAAGGCAACCGTCGTATTTTTTTTTTTTTTTTTTTTTTTTGTACAGAACGTTTTGACATATGAGTAATTTACAGTATATTTAGATATATTAGATAACGAAATACAAAAAGTAACCCTCGTATATTCAGAGCACTGCGAATTCCAGTACTTCTTCAGGAATTCTTCAATATATTGGATATATTTGTCTAGTTTTAGAACTTTAAAAACGAGTGCTTAAGAACGTTGTGATGTCACTTGCATGAGTTTCAAAAAATTATGAAATTAATTAGGTAAAATTTATTTAAAACCACTTATCATCTAAAACTAAAATTAAAGTTTTTTTTACTGATTTCAAGCAAATTTTTGGTAAGCTATCATTCCAAATATATAATATATAAACGCTAAAGAACTCTGCCAAAATTCTTCTGAGAGTGAGAGTGAGAAGTGAGTGTAAAAATAATCGCTGAGCGCCTACTAACTATCATTAAGGCGCATGTTTGTATGGCTGTGTGTTATCACACATTTGTTATACAACTTGGCGTATCGCTATCAGCAAAAAGATAACATCAACACACAACAACAAAAATATGAAGCACTGAGGTATGTGTGTTCTCTCATAAAATATCGACAAGGCACACACATGTACATACATATTTTGCCACTAATTAAACGCATTCTTAACTGAGGCAAATTCAAAAGTGCGCCAATCATTGTTGGCTACGGATCGGCGTGAACTTGATCGCAACGTGTGCAGGTAGCGGGTTATGCTGACGGTGGCGCAAACATACTTATACATACATAGAGTAAATTTTGTGATTTGGCATATACATTACGGAATTGTCTTAGTTTGATAAGCATATTGGAGACATCGATTCGTTATTTTGAAAAGTGATTTTAGTGAATACTAGTACATGTAGAGCAAAAGAAATGAAAATTGCTTTAAAAATCGTAATTTAAAATGAATAAAACGCTATTTTATTCTGATATTGTATAAAGTGCAAGAAAGTGTAAAATTTACAAAAAAAAAAAAAAAAAAAAAAAAAAAAAAAAAAAAAAAAAAAAAAAAAAAAAAAAAAAAAAACAAGAGAAAAAGAAATAGTGAATGAGTTGTCTAGAAACTCATTGAAAGTGATTAACGAAATACAAACGAAGTACATCAAATAAAAACAACAGTCAGCATAATTAATTTAAGTGCTCAGAAATCCAAAAAGTACTGTAATAAAAAGTTGATAAAAAAATTTAATTGTATTTCTAAGAATACAGTACAGTATAACCGCACAATTCTCAAAGGACACGGTGCTGATGCCTAGCGTATTGAAAAAATGACTAGTTTTCAAAATGAACTTGTAAGTAAAACAAGGATATTTTGAAATATAGATATACTATAATTAATGCTGAGGTTGTAAGTCTCACATACATTCAACTCTTTTTCTAAATCGAATGTTTCAATAAACTAAGAATGATATGAAAAACAGATTTTTGGAGATTTGATTATAACTATTTGGACAAATATATATCAAAAACAAGAAGGAAAGAAAGTTAACTTCAGCTGTTCTAAAGCTCTAATGCCTTTCATAAGTGCATTTCTTTTAGCATAAAAGGTTATAAATCGCTTTATCTCTATTTAGACCGATCAGTTTGCAGAGTAGCTATACGCAGTAGTGATTCGATGTCTACGATTTTTTCGCAGTACATAGTGTGGCTTCAAACAATAATCCGTTCCAAATTTTGTGAAGATATCTTATCAGATAAAAAAGGTTTCCCTACAAGAACTTGATTTTGATCGGCAAATTTATATGACAGCTGTATACTGTAATAGTCCGATCTCAATAATTTGTTCAGATAATATAGCTATATGTTCGATAGTAATCCACGCCAAATTTCATGAAAATATTTCGCAAAGTGAAAAAGTTGTGCATGCAAGCACTTATTTCTGATCGTTAAGTTTGTAGGGTAGCTATATGATATAGTGATACGATCTAAACAATTTCTTCGGAAGTTACATTATTTCTTCATGTAATAATCTCTGCAAAATTTCGTGAAAATATCTCGCCAAATGAAAATGATTTCCATACAAAGACTTGATTCTGACTGTTCAGTTTGTATGGCAGCTATATGCTAGAGTAGTCCAAAATCGGTTCCACAAAATAAGTAGCATCTTTAAAAGAAAAGGATATACGCAAAACTCCAGATCGATATCTCAAAAACTGAGTGACTAGGGTATTATATTTATATATATACTTTATAAGCTCTCCAACGTGTACCTCTGGGTTTCATCCCTATTCAGGGTATATACATATATATAAAATACGGATATTTAGATATTATATTCGCTTATGCTGTATAGCCAGATAACAGAAATTAATTAAATACAAAAATTTTATATATATACAAATTAGTGAAAGGGGCTACGCGCTGTTGTGGTTTACATTTTATGCTAGTATTCATGTAATGATCTATTCCATACAGGGAAAATTCTATTTACGAATAAAGACGAAAACGTTTTTGTCGGTGTACGAATTCAAGAGATTGTACTTGAGGTTTAATTTTGAATATGTTCATACAAATAAATTCCATTAGCAAATATAACAAATTTAAGGCTGTTTTCTCAAGGTCTGGTTACCAGGCTTTTTATCCAGTTAATAAAGTTGTCCGCTTAACAGATTGTACTTAATAAACATCAACAAAATGTGAGATCGGTCAATGTGCATGGTTAATGGAGATGTCCACTTAATAGAGCGTCCAATTAATAGAGATTTCACTGTAGTTTTTTATTTATAGATTTTTTTTGTGTTGCTATATTCTAAGCCGAACTGGACACAGTGTGCTAAATTATGCTAAAATGGGTTGAGTAGTTTAGGAGTCCATCGCGGACAAACAACGTAACATTTAATTTTTGTGTATAAAGACAGCTAAAAGTGAACCAAAAATATTGATTTTAGAAAAAATATTTTCTGTTCATTAGGTTTTATAGTTTTTTGTATCAAAATTTCAAAATTATAGCTTAAAATATTTCTTTAGGAGGGCTTAAACTTTTTATAAGACTTATAAAATGATACCCTGTACTGCTAAAATATTTGCAGAACCTTAGACAATGCCAACGCTTCAAATAATATTTCTTGTTTGCATTTCATTTGCGCTTTCCGGTACTTTCCGCTACAAAAATAACAAACTGTTAACAGATGTTGCGTGAATTGTTTTAGTAGAGTCTTAATGGTTTCCGGAAATGTGTTTGTAGAGCATTAAAATTTATTTTTAATAATACGGCATGAGTTTTTGAAGTATGTAACCATAAATAGCAGCAACAATATATGCAAATAAAATCGAAGTAGTCTCATAAGATAAGCGTGAGTAGCCAAGGCTTTGTGAGTAAAAAGCCGTAAGAGTAAAATCAGTTTTCTTGTGATTAAGTGCTTTCAAGTAGAAATCATAACTTTTCGAAAAATATTGATTTATGAGATTTTGCTTAGTAAAGAACACTTACTACCTAAACTTTGATAAGATCAACTAACGAATAATGACTTCACATTCATTGGAAAAAGAAAAATTCAAGTGTAAGTATATAGCTGCAGGGTATCTATGTTAAATCACTGCTAAATTAGGTTGATATCGCCTTTAATATCATAAGTCGAAAGTACGAAATCGAAAAACCCAATTATTTATTATTGCATCATTTATTAATGTATCATTAGCCATAAGGCTTTTCTTTTAGACTTCAGAGATATTTTTTGATAACAAATTAATTTAATAACTTAAATAATATCTGTTTTTTTAAATAACGTAAGCTTTAAACAAGGTGGTGACATAATTCGTACTTAATGTGCGCTAGTTTTGAATAAAATAAATATGATTTCATACTATCCAGTTCATTGTTTAATGCTTCTTGAGTTCCTTTACATTTAATATTTGGCAAATTAATATTTTATACCCTGAACAGTGCATATTAAGTTTGCCGAGATGTTTGTAACCGACAACAGAAAACGTCAGAGACCATAAAAAGCATATACATAAATTATCAGCGTGACAAGCCAAGTTCCTCTGTTATTGAAATATCGATATGAAATTTCGCACACTTCCTTTTCTCCCCAAGATGCTCTTCATTTGTCGGAATGGCCAATATCAGATCACTATAGCACATAGCTGTCATATAAACTTTTTTTCATTTGACGAGTTATCTTCACGAAATTCGGCATGGATTATTGTCTAAAGCAACGGTACAATCTTCGGAAACATTGTTCAAATTTATACTATAGCTGCTATACCATACTCATCGATCAAAATCACGATAAAGATCTATTTATATCCTTTTATGCTAATAAGAAATCCACTTGTGAAGGATATAATAGCCACGGTGTAACCGGAGTTAACGTTCTATTTTTATTGGTGTTGCTGCTGAATACTCTTACGGATGATTGCACTTCCTCTATGTAGCTCTGTAGCTCTGCAGCTCTTATTATTTTTTGTTCAGCACACTAAAATTCCAATCGTCGTGCATGCGTCCGACTATATTCTTTAAATAATCTGATGCATGCTCCTTATCAGTTTGTCGCTGCCGTAATTGTTTAACTCGGCCGACAATCTAGCCACCGCTGTTTTGTTCTTCAGACTGGTATTTGCTATTCGAACTTCTTCATGATTGGGAAACGGAACGTTTTCTTCATCATCATCGACTGAGCAATTGCGTTGTGTTTTCAGTGCCATTCAGCAGGCTGGAGAAGTATTTCCTCCATAATTTCAGTTTGCTCTGGGACATCAGTCACTGAATCACCTCAGTGGTTCTATAAGAGTATGTCCCGGTCTTGAAAGCTTTTATTATTCGCCACATCTTTTCGTAGAACCCCCCCTTACCCCTTGTTGCTAGCTTGTCAAGCTCTTCGTACTCACATATTTCGGACTCTCATTTTTGTCTGCAAATTTGTCTCACTTCATTGCGTTCTATGGCTAGTTTTACTTATTCTTACAGGATTAGGTGTATTCAATTATTTCTGGCGTCATCGCATTTTCGGGTTGACTGCAAAGATATTCCTAACTTTCCAAACAACTCATTTACGCAAATATTTCGTGCAAAATTTTAGATTACTCACATTTTCACTGCTGAGGTATTTAATTAGTTTTGCGACGCCGCCATATCGATGCGCTCGTCAGTCTTATCGCCGCAATCAAATCTCAGCCCGCTATCAGCTTTTTCGTTACGTCTGTTAGTAATTTTTCGTATATCTGCTTTTATATTGCATTTGTTGCTATTTGTTTATCGCTGACCATGCCTTTTTCCGCAATTTCGATTCATTTGATTTGCCATAAAATAATTTCGCAGCTGCAGTATTTTCAACTCGCCGTGCGCAACCAAACCTCACTGCGTAAAATGGAATACGTAACAACGTAAAACAAATAAAAATTGCATTACAGAGTCGTGTTAGTGCTTCAGGTGTACTTATTGAGTTACTAATCGTATTTACACATGCGCATGCTATTTATAATTGGCTGCCAGTGTACACCCTGTATTTGTATGTGTCTTAATAGAGCGCCTTAAGTTTTTAAATGTTTAATGCACCAACAAGCTCTCTGGTAAATGTCAATTAATTAAAATCCCCTTTGAATGGCAGTTTAAGTTCCGATCGCCAAATCTTCAAGTAAATATTGCTGTTTGCCTATTGGCTTGTGAAAATTTATTGTCTGAGTAGCTCGAGTGCTATCTTATTTAATTGATATAGTTTATTCAAAAAATACATATTATAAAAAATTAAGTAAAATTTTATGAAAATATTACTTATATACAAATTTATGAAAAAAAAAAAATTTAAGTTGCAATAAAATTTTAACTACTCGCATTTTTGTGCTTTACTCGTAAATCACCAAATTTATGCTTTCATGCTTATCTGCTAATGTTTGCCTGTTCTTTCTTCCACATTAGATGAAATGTACATTGCTGATAAGCGCATTCCTTTATGTGTATATTTGTATACTAACATTACAGACACCACCCGAAAATATCATTTTTGTGAAGAGCTTATGATCTAAGAAAATATGTACGTTTATCGTTACTAAACACCTTGTCAGTTTTTTATACCCCGAATGGGGTACATTAAGTTGTCAAAAATAAGTAAAAAACCCTACGCTTGCTATCAGTTCTTCGCCGCCGTATTTGAATAGCGCGGCCGGCAATCCATTAGCCCCTGCCGCTTTGTTGCCCTACAGACGGGTAATTGCTATTCGATCTTCTGCTCCACTGTCATTCAACAAGCTGGAGAAGTGTTTCTTTCCTAATTTCAGTAGGCGCTGGGCATCATTCACTAGATCACCTCTGGAGGTTCTACAAGGGTATGCTCCTGTATTGTTTGTCACAAAACAATATATACGAAGTCAGAATTTCATGAATTCGGCTTCGCATTGCTTCCGCATCCACCGTATACTCCAAATCTGTTCAAGTGACTATTTTCTGCTCTCAGACTTCAATGGCTTGTACGCTGGTAAGAAATTTACCAACAATGAAGATATATTCGTACAAACTGACTTTTATTTTGAGGCTTAAGGCAAATTTATTATAAAAATGGTGTTGACAATTGTATGATATAATCGTGGTACTTCGAAGATATATATTTATATTAGTTTGTCAAAAAATTCTTGCGGTATTTTCGCTAGTTGCCGCTGAGAGCGCGTAGTTCTAGTTTTATTCGTCGCATCGGGTCATGCTATATCTTTTTGGAAAGCTCACTTAACGCGCTAACACGTGTTTGATTGATTGTCGTTTCTTTTAAGTTGTTCGTGAGTTATAGCGTCGCAAACATGGAGCAAACTAAAGAGAAAATACGGCGTATTTTGCAGTACTAGCCACCAATAAAATTTGTGCAATTTATGGACCCGATACAGTTTCCATTTCCACCGCACAACGATGGTTTCAACGTTT